ATAGGACTTCAGGAAAGGTTGGAAGGGAAGGAGTTCCCATAACGGAGAAATATCTCCGTGATGTCTCGTTCCCGCTCTCAGGGAACCGAGGTTACGATAGTAACCGGAGCGTTCTAGAATCCTTTGATACACATATGGGTGAAATCACTATAGAGGTACAGTACATGTGTGCTTTATTGTTTATTGCATATAGTCTGATTATCGACTGATGATTGATTATAGATGATTATTATGATTATAGACTGATTATCGGTTGCAATAAAGCCTTTTTGTAGTTCTTGCCAAAACATTTGTCTTCACATGATATTAACATAAACAGAAAATTTAATGTAAATTCTGATATCCTGACAGCCCTACCTTGAGTCTTGTCTTTTTGGCTTTTGTAACCCAAATATTATGCTAATAAAATAATTAAATATTGATATACTGATAACATTCAAAATGATCTAAATATCAAAAATGCAGGAAATTCCTCTCAAATGTTGAGCAAGTTTGTCTGCAGCTGAGAGGAAGAAGAGTTCTGGAGAGAGGCCTACCTCCTCCGCACAAAATAAACCCTGTGGAAACACACAGAAGCTTTCGAGGACAGGTCTGGGAGCAATTACCAAGCAGAAACGGCCAAACTTTGACTGCAAATGCACGTCAGTCCCAGCACATAAACTGCTTTCATTAATATTTTCAGTAGAATTCATCAATATCCTGCCCTGCCACAGTATTACAGCTTTTCCTGGAACCAACATGGGGCAATTCTGTGGCTTTCCCCCACATCTCAAGATTTTGACTCAGCATGTGCAGTCAGCCCGATTTGCTGTTAGAAAGAAATAAAGAAAGCTTCACATCCGATATGATTGTGAGCTTTCCAGTCGTTTATAGTCGTGGCAGTCAAAACAACCCCGAGCCAAACCCCCTGAACCCCCTTAAAAAGCAGGTCAGTAAAGAGTCTGCAGGGGTTTTAGTCAGTCACAGTAAAGGATTCTCATAAAAATCGTGTTTTGAGGGCAAACAAAAATTACAGCAAAAACTAGGCTGACATCAGGAGTTCAGGAGTCACAATTTGGTGAAAGCCCAAGTCCAAGTCATGTAAAAAGATTTCATTGAGTAAGGCTTAAGAACAGTAGGTATTTCTGTAGAACAGACCCAGGCTGAGAGTAGTAGGGGGGCATGAAATGGGCAGAGACCTGAAATGGGCAGACGTCTGATGTCTGGCATTAATATCAAGCTAAGCAGTTCATTCCAAAATAATAAAATGACAAGTTTGGTGAACTAAGTGCCCGAGGAATCTAAAAAGTCCATTTACACAATTACTCCAGGCCTTTGCTATATGCTAGATTATATATCCTTAAACAAGCAATCTGATTATCATTTTATTAGCATTCTATACTGACATTCAAACTTTTCAGGTTATATAATTGGTTTTCAAATACCAGGTTTACTAATAAATGCTGCCATCTTGTAAGTCTTTAAAAAAAAAAGCGCATACAACAGTGCCATTACACCACTGTGCTTTCAACAGGAAACATCTGAAAAGTAACTTAATAAGTACATACATTATTTGATTATAAAACTGTGGTTGGAGACTTTTTGCGCGTCGGTAAGAGACAAAGCCAAACAACCATTATGACTGAAAATTCACCCAAATCTTGAACCATGACACAGTATTATGACAGCGTCATACTCACTGTGGCTGATAAGGAATGGGTCCGTTAGGTGACGGCTTCATGGACAGGGTCAGATGTCCCACTTTGGTGCCGGGCAATGGTAACGGCACTTGACCTTGGCCTTGCGGGAAGATCTGCTGAGGAATAGGACGCTGGGGAACTACATTATGACCATTGGGGTATCCATTCGTATGACCTACGTTTGGAAGTCCACCATTGGTGTGTCCGTTTAATGGTCCAGTTGGATGCGAGGATGGGGGCAGAGTAGTCTGTTCACAGGACTTGCCTTTAGAGCCTGGCTTACACACACAAATGTGGGGCCGCAAGCACATCCCTCCATTCTTGCATGGCGGTGTACAGTTAGCTGTAACAAAGAGAAGAAATGTTAAACAATTTTTTTTTTAAAAGTCATATAATACAATTAATATAATATAACTTATAACAAAATGTCATATGATAAAGTTTAATTACTTATATAGTGCTGTTAGAATTTATAGAAGTTTATAGAAAAGAGTTTTCCAGGCTGGTCTGGTTATGTAAATACAAGTGGTTTAAATGAATATTCTGGGTTAATATAAAATAAAACAAAACCAAAAGAAAACCTAACAAAACAAAACAAAACACAGAGGAAGGGTTGAATGGAAGGGTCTATGCCGGGATCCATAGCCTTCCATTATACATGCTTTTCTGTGCACACTTCTATTTAGTTAACTTTTACATGAACTGATGTGGGAGTTGAAATGAAACATTTTTATTTTATACTTTAGGTTTTCATTTTGCTTACTGATAATTATTATTTTGTGGTAACAGCATGGAATATAACTTTTAAAAGTAGATTTCTACAATATTTTCAGCATAGTTAATACATTAGAAAGTGTGTAAGGTCATAGTTTTTGTACGCTTTTTATGTGGTGAGGAACAAAATATATAAAAATGAAGGTCAGAACTGATATCTGCACAGATCATGAGAAAAAGAGTGAAGAGAACGAAAGAGAAGCAGACTAACAGAGAGCAAGAGAGAAGGAAAATGAGTGGATAACTGGGTGTTGACTTGTGGTCTGTAATTACATCATTGAGGAGCAGGAACAAAGCTGTCATTCAACTACAAAGAGCCTAGCGGCCTCTATGGCCAACCAACACAGACTTTGTCACACACACACACACACACATGTCTGGTCAGCTATCCTTGTGGGGACTCTCCATAGGCGTAATGGTTTTTCTACTGTACAGACCGTATATTCTATTGCCCTACACCAACCCTACCCCTAAACCTACCACTCACAGGAAACTTTCTGCATTTTTAGATTTTCAAAAAACTTCATTCTGTATGATTTATAAGCTTTTGTACCCGTGGGGACCACAATTTAGGTCCCCACCGTGACACGAGTCCCCATGAGTCTGTGTGTAGTCAGGTTTAAGTCCCCACCAGGATATATAAACCAGTACACACACACACACACACAATCAGGGCAGCTTGATGCTCATCAGCAAATTTATAGTTAGTCATATTAAGTGATTGAGTGCTGTGGATATTCCTAAATAGAAAATGGATCAGCACCCAGTTCTCAAGGCAGATGTTAGGAAGGATGATCTCATCAACAGTTTCTATGACATCACAGCAGCAGCTGCTCTACACAAACTGCTACAGACATGCAGTGGCCATCTGGAGTACCGGGAGTTTTCCCTGGTGGGCCGCTGTACAATGTGGGACGGCCTATTGGGTAAATATATATAAAGAATGAATTATAGTAAATGTATGTAGCCTATATCCCTCCATTGACCCAGACGAATGGCCTGCGCAGCCCACCAAAAATTCAAATTCAGAGTCAAAAATTCTAATTAATTTAGCATGCTCTGGCTCAGTGCAGCGGTTCAAAAGCTCTCGTCACTGTCAAAATTTTTTGAAAGAGCCAATCAAATCGAAGGCAGTGGGATTTACTGTTCACAGAAGCTGAGCTGCATGGCACCTGACTGCAAGCTGAGGTAAGATAAGATGTAAGCAGCTAAACATTTCAGCAATATTTGCCAACTGTTTACAATAAAAAAAAAGTTAAATGGCAGACATTAATTTTCAGTGATGCAAACTAACGTTACTACTTTCCCAGATTTGTATGCCATTTACATTATTCGTCACAATGTACATAAACATTAATGTAGCAGTTTTCAGCAGACATAAGATAGGAGTAAATGTTTGTATATCTCTATCCAGGCTTTCTTCTGTAATTTCACGTGTTATGAAAATGAACATTTTCATAAAACTCTAAAATATCATTCTCAAACTTACTCTAGAACATTGTAAATCTGAAGAATTTTGCTTTCAAGTGCCGTGATTAGAAAAGTGATATATATTATAATAAAAACATAATTTGCTAATTAGTTCACATGCATTATTTTATATGCACACTTGCGGTCAAAAGCTAGAAATAATTAAGACTTTTTATTTATTTATTTATAAAAGAAGGCTGAATTTATTTGATCAAAAATACAGTAAAAACACTAATATTATGAAATATTACATTTAAAGTACATTCTAAATTATAGTTTTCTATTTAAGATATTTTAAAATTTTAATTTATTGCTGTTATCAAAGCTGAATTTTCAGCATCATTACTCCAGTCTTTAGAAATCATTCTAATATGCTGATTTGCTGCTTAATTATTATCAGTTATTATTTGTGCTCAATTATTAATAATGGTTCTTATCAATACTGAAAACTGTTTTTGCTTCTTAATATTTTTGTGGAAACTGTGATACTTTAACTTTTTCAAGTTAGGGTTAAAGAACAGCATTTATTTGAAATATAAAAAATTTGTAATAAGTATAAATAAGTATACTCTGTGATTCAGTTTTTTTTTCTGACATGTTGGTGTTATATCTTTCACTTGAATATTATAAGTTGCACTGAGTAAATACAGCTGGATAAAACAAAAACTGTGTCCGTCTTCATTTCAGGCTGCAAAGCAACTAAATGTGATCATTTAAAGGGAGGTGATTCTTTTCTATACCCACTGTAAATTTAAATCAATATTTATGTACATTTAATTTAAATTTAATTAAGTTATGAACTATATAAACAAATTAAACTTAATTTATCATAATAAAAACAATGTGCTTAATTTATAAATCTTTTTTCCAGATGCTTCCAAAGGAGGTTTTATTTATGAAGATAAACTATACCCAAGCACATACACACGTAATATTTTTCCATACAAGCTGGATTAAAATGAGCATTTATTGACCACAAATTATTATACACAGGCCTTGTGACAGAGGTGAGAGTGATTACATCAAATATGACATCATATAAACTACTCCCCCTGGTTTGGAGTTTTTTATTTCAGTTGACATGACCCACAGCAGGGGATTTCTGTTTTCTTTTCCACCCTCACTAGGTTTCCCTCCTTTTCCAATGTACCTCATTGGCCCTCTGGGGCTCAGGGTTACAAAGTGAGACAGTCCTTAGAAACGGAGTACACACACGAACACTGTTCTTGTTCATATCATGCCCTTGTACTGTCCACCACCTCACCCACATAAACACACACAATAAACACACATGTAGGCGCAAAAGTACACAGAATATCATTCTTTTAAACTCCAAAACTCACCCCCACCACACATTTACATACAGAAAAAGTGCTATATGAGTTAAAGTAGAAGTATTGTGACAAATGAAAATTCTGTCCTCATTCACTTACCCCACATGACTCGCATTCTTCTGTGCGACACAAAAGATGTTTTGAATGCTAATAGTTCATTATATGACCCATCTTGATAAGATGTGCCTCATCTAAATGTACATGAAAAATGTTAGGCATTTTTTTTTGTAGATAAGTAAATGATTACATGCATGAAATGCAAATCTACCACACATATTCAATGACTGACCTACCATCTGTCAATCCAGTATCAATGTCTGAGGTATTGTATCCAAAATTTTGGCACTGAGTCAAGTAATTGATCAATATATTAGCCAGGCTGATAAACTGGTGTGTTTATTTTGAGATGTTTTGGCCAATTTCAGAAGCATAAGCTTGCACATGCAAAATCTACCAGTCCAGTGAATGGATAATGCACATTTGGGTTTCAAATATTTGTAGTCAAAGCTGAATTTTCAGCATCATTACTCCAGTCTTTAGAAATCATTCTAATATGCTGATTTGCTGCTTAATTATTATCAGTTATTATTTGTGCTCAATTATTAATAATGGTTCTTATCAATACTGAAAACTGTTTTTGCTTCTTAATATTTTTGTGGAAACTGTGATACTTTAACTTTTTCAAGTTAGGGTTAAAGAACAGCATTTATTTGAAATATAAAAAATTTGTAATAAGTATAAATAAGTATACTCTGTGATTCAGTTTTTTTTTCTGACATGTTGGTGTTATATCTTTCACTTGAATATTATAAGTTGCACTGAGTAAATACAGCTGGATAAAACAAAAACTGTGTCCGTCTTCATTTCAGGCTGCAAAGCAACTAAATGTGATCATTTAAAGGGAGGTGATTCTTTTCTATACCCACTGTAAATTTAAATCAATATTTATGTACATTTAATTTAAATTTAATTAAGTTATGAACTATATAAACAAATTAAACTTAATTTATCATAATAAAAACAATGTGCTTAATTTATAAATCTTTTTTCCAGATGCTTCCAAAGGAGGTTTTATTTATGAAGATAAACTATACCCAAGCACATACACACGTAATATTTTTCCATACAAGCTGGATTAAAATGAGCATTTATTGACCACAAATTATTATACACAGGCCTTGTGACAGAGGTGAGAGTGATTACATCAAATATGACATCATATAAACTACTCCCCCTGGTTTGGAGTTTTTTATTTCAGTTGACATGACCCACAGCAGGGGATTTCTGTTTTCTTTTCCACCCTCACTAGGTTTCCCTCCTTTTCCAATGTACCTCATTGGCCCTCTGGGGCTCAGGGTTACAAAGTGAGACAGTCCTTAGAAACGGAGTACACACACGAACACTGTTCTTGTTCATATCATGCCCTTGTACTGTCCACCACCTCACCCACATAAACACACACAATAAACACACATGTAGGCGCAAAAGTACACAGAATATCATTCTTTTAAACTCCAAAACTCACCCCCACCACACATTTACATACAGAAAAAGTGCTATATGAGTTAAAGTAGAAGTATTGTGACAAATGAAAATTCTGTCCTCATTCACTTACCCCACATGACTCGCATTCTTCTGTGCGACACAAAAGATGTTTTGAATGCTAATAGTTCATTATATGACCCATCTTGATAAGATGTGCCTCATCTAAATGTACATGAAAAATGTTAGGCATTTTTTTTTGTAGATAAGTAAATGATTACAT